TCTTGAAGTTGCTGATAAACTGCTTTATTGCCTTGCTCTGTAAGGAATTAAAATATCCCCAAATATGGATCACCCTTCACTTTATTACACAAACTCCAGAAGGGGTGGTGTTCTGCAGTGCCAGACTCATTAACCACTTATTGTAATTAAACTGGACTGTGGCAGATGAGGAGAGAGAAAAGCCTTCCCTTTTGGTCTATAGAAGACTGCCTTCTCCAGCCCCCAAGTCAAGTTCTGCCTGCTTTCCTCCAGCTTCAGGAGGAATGGATTAGGGATGAATCCCCAGAAGAGAAGAATGGTTGAAATGTCCATCAGTAGTTCTTTGGGAGATATGAAAATACACCCCATTCTGAACTGATGACTGAACACCCACACTTAGCATATAGTGTTTATCAGCTGTAGCAGCTTTAAGATGCGTGGACGTCAACTCCCAGAATTCCTCAGCCAGGGAATTGTGGGAGTTGAAGTCCACACACTTCTTAAAGTTGCTAAGGTTGAGAAACACTGGTGCCTATAGGACGGGGGGGGGGGTGTCTCCAAACTTGGCAACTTTAAGACTCCCAGAATTCCCCAGCCAGCCAACTTTCCTTCCCCACATGAAAGTGAGGTGAAGCACTGCTGAAGACAAACTATGATGTACATATATTAAAAGGCAGCTTATTGAGACAAATAAACACCTCAGGACACTTCCACATGCTCCTTCCTCTGTAATAGGATTACAGACTCAATTTCCTCATCTGCAGCCCTTGGTGTAAATGCCCGCTTGGTTTTTCCCCTCCAATGTATGCCTTTTTTTGTAGCTTTGGAAAGGACGACTGTATATCTGCTGTGCAGCAGGCCAATCTTTCAACCGTTTGGGAAACCTACATACAAACCTACATATTGTGCCGAGGATAGCTGTTAGCTCAAGGGGCGTTGAAGCCATATCCTGTCTCCAACAGAAGGCAACAACATTTGCCCAAAGCCCATGAGTAGGGAGTGAAAACACAGAACATGAATAAGAGACGGGACCTTGGAGGTCTTCTAGTCCAATGCCCTGCTTTAGCACAAGGTGCTATGCCAAGCAACAGCCTCTCATTCCAATTGTTCCTTCAGGAGAGGGAGGGACCCCCACACCAGCATTTGTAAGCTCTTCCCAGCCAGTGAGATGTACTTTGGGTGAAGGACACCATTTTTGCTGTTGAGGGACAACCAATTCCAGGTCCTGTTAGAAACAAAATGTTTAACATCTTCCATCCAAGGTGACAAATGGATTGTTCAATATATGCCGATTAAAGGGTGACCTTGAGTGCAAAGTGGCAGAGCAATTAGCTAAGGATAATGGGTAGGTGGGGGACATTTGTCATGATGTGGAAATAGCACATAAATAAATTAGCAGTGGTTGGCAGACCTTCTTAGAGGAACCCATTGGGTCTACACAAAGACTGCCTTTCTTGCTCTTTCTTCTTCCATGGTCTCCAGTTTAACTTCTCTACAGCACCCTTGGTGAATGGAAATAATGTGGCTGTAATGACCTGAGAAAAACTGCAAGTGTCTCTGAAAACAAGCCCAGAGCTTTCATGGTAACCATCTTGGAAAAAAGGTTCACAGCTTACACTCAATCCAGCCAAAAAAGAGTTGATCCTTGCAGCAACAAGCAATCTGCTGAAGATAAAGTTCGCTGCAAGATTGGAAAACAATTTTGTGCTTTACCAAGATTCACTTTTCAACTAACCCCTTCCTGATGCCCTCTTCAGTCGCCGTATGTCTGCAACAAAAATCTGATGTTTGAAACTGTTTATGCTATTTATTATGATATTCTCCTCCAAAACAAACGGTCTTTCCATTCCTTTAGTTCCAGCCACATTTTGCTCTAATATTTCTCCTTTCTTTGCAATTGCAGATTTTTATGTGCCCCAAACCAAAAAACGTTGTACAGTAGTCCTCGACTCAGGACCACAATTGAGCCCAAAATTTCTGTTGCTAAGTGAAACTTTTGTTAAATGAGCTTTGCCCCATTTTATGACCTTTCTTGCCACAGCTGTTAAGTGAATCCCTGCAGTGGTTAAGTTAGTAAATGGTTGTTAAGTGAATCTGGTCATGTCTCACTTAACAACATGGTGATTTGCTTTAACGCCTGTGGCAAAACAAAATTGTAAAACTGGATGCAGTCACCCCCCCCCATGTCTCAATTTAACAACCACGCTGATTAACGAAGAATTTTCCAATTGTTGCCATACACTGAGAACTACCATTATTGAATAGCGAAGGTGACATCTTCCATAGTCTCCAGGCGGTTTCAAGTATACCCTCAAGTGGACTGGAATCTTATGTGATAAACTATTCCCCGGTTTATCTCTGAAACCGGAAACATTTGCAACTGATGGACCAGAGGGAAAAAAACCTTCTGCAAGTCATTTTCTTTAAGGCGTGCTGTGGTGTTGAGCAGGCAGGTTCATCCAATTGTTTTGCACCACCTGAGTGTTTAGAATTTGGATGCAGACGTTCTTGGCAATGGCGATCTCTTCCCTTCAGAGGTGGGATACTGATGGCCAGGAAACAGATGCCTAGTGATTCGGTCTAATGGTCATTGTGGATGAGAAGAAAGCTACCATAAAAGTTAAAGTTCTGAATGTGGGCTTTGCTGTGATTCCAACTTTACAATAATAATAATAATAATAATAAAAACTGGTGGGATCATAAAATAGAGAAAGTCATAGAAAATGATAAAATTAAACTGCTCTGGGACTTCAGAATTCAAACAGACAAGCACCTGCAACATAACACCCCAGACTTAACAATTGTCGATAAAAAAGACAAAAAAGACTGGATAGTGGACGTGGCAGTGCCTGGAGATAGCAGAATAGAAGAGAAAGAACTGGAGAAGATAACAAAATACAAAGACCTACAAATAGAAATAGAAAGACTGTGGCAAAAACAAGCAAGGGTAGTACCAATAGTAATAGGCTCCTTAGGTGCAATCCCAAAACAACTGGAGCACCACTTGAATACCATTGGCATTGACAAATTCGCTATTAGTCAATTGCAAAAGGCGGCCTTATTAGGAACTGCTTCCATCCTGCGACGATACTGTAATACCATCAAACATCCACATCTGCCTATCCCAGGTCCTGGGTAAGGACTCGATAGGTAGACAAAATGCCAAATCCAGTCTGAACATCTGGCTGACTGTGCGATGATCCATAATAATAATAATAATAATAATAATAATAGTAGTAGTAGTAGTAGTAGTAGTAGTAGTAGTAGTAGTAGTAGTAAAGTTGGAAGGGACTTGGAGGTCATCTAGTCCAACCCTCTGCTCTACACCATTTTGGACAAATGGCTGTCCAGCCTCTTCTTAAAAACTTCCAGTGTTGGAGCATTTACTGCTTCTGCAGGCAGGTTGTTCCACTGATTAATTGTTCTCACTGTCATTTTTTACCTCAGAACAATCTGAGGTAAAAAATGGGGGGGGGGACCATGGAGTGAAGATCAGTAGGTCCAGACGGACACAATGGGAGGCCTTGGATGGCTGCATTCTCCTGGGTGGGTTGAGGACAAGAATAATGGGATGGTGGGATTTTAGGCAGGCAGTCCTCGACTTACAATCATTCATTTAGTGACTGTTTGAAGTTACAACAGCACTGGAAAAAAAATGTCACGCTTACGATCATCGCAGCATCCCCATACAGCAAGTCACATGATCAAAATTCAGACACTTGGCATCTAACTCATATATATGACAGTCGCAGTGTGTCCCGGGGTCATGTGATTTCCCCCTTTTGTGACCTTTTGGCAAGCAAAGTCAATGGGGAAGACAGATTCTTTTAGCCACCGTGTGGCTAACTTAACAACTGCAGTGGTTCACTTAATGACTGTGGCAAGAAAGATCATAAAATGGGGCAAAAATTCACTTAACAAGTGTCTCGCTTAGCAACAAAAATGTTGGGCTCAGTTGTGGCCATGTGTCAAGGACTACCTGTCTGAGCCACAATTCTGCTTTTGGAGACAGGGGATAGGATTAAAATTTAAATGGTGGCAAACACCGTTCTGTCGGATGACTCAAAACAAGTTAATCGCAGTGGCAGTAAATCTAATGATATTTCCAGGACAAAGCTTAACTAAGTTAGGCCCTACTAAACTTTGTGGGTTAAATCTAAGCAGGACTAGAAAGGCTAGCACAGAATAGCATTTAATGCTACCAGTAAAAGAATACTATGGACCTTGTTTTACTTTCCTTCCTTAACCAAAAGAAAAAGGGATGAAAATGAAGAATATGAAAGCAGAGAGCTGGCTGTATTGGTGGATTCCTTGTCTGATAGGATCAATCATACAAAAGACAAATTTGTCTAAAGGGCCCCTAATATCTAGCTGAAATGCTTTAACAACAGCCCCTTTAAAACAGGGCTTCCCAACCTTGGCAACTTGAAGATATGTGGACTTCAACTCCCAGAATTCCCCAGCTAGCAAGGACAAGCTGGGCAGAAAAACTACAGGTGAAGAAGACCTGACCCTTCTTCTTGGGTGAAGTCACCATAGATCCATGGAGCTTCAGGCTTAATGGATACACATGTCCACATACAGCTACCCTATGGTCTCAAGGGAGCAGCCTTCCAACTTGAACCCATGGCTCTTCTTGGATTCTACCCAAGGGCTGTAGACTGTTGTATGAAGGAACATCTTCATGCAAAGATGGTCTTGGACAAATGCCCCTCTGCCACTCCAGTTCAAGGCAAGGAGAGTTCCTTGCTAGGAACACAGATTGTCCTAAGCTACGTCCATATCTAAAGAATGATGTACATGTCATCTTTATATATGGAACTACATAAACAGACTATTTTTGTCTTCCAGCTACCTTTCTTGAAACAATTACAGTGGAGGATCAAGCAAGCCCTGAAATTAATTTCCCCCAAGTAAACAAAACAGAGAATCCAAGATGTATCTTTCAGGTCTCCAAGAGAGCAGCTCAGTCGTTTTGATAAGATCCCTCAACTCTATCCAGAAACGAGGAATTATTCTTCCTTTTGAGATACATTTAATATGCAAAAGAAATCAAACAAAGAATTCACAACCCAATGGAACTGAAAGAAAAAAAAACCCCTTAATATCTAAGTGCTTGTTCAGGGACAGATTTTAGGGAGACAGGAGAAAAAGGTTGAACTTGCTAGTTGAAAAGAAAACTTTTCAGAAGAGAATTCAGAATTCACCCGTTCAGCTCTTGTCCTTCTGTCTCCGTGAGTAGAGACTAATCTACTTCTGAGAATTTGGCAGCTTCACCACTCGCTCCCGATGGAGTTTCCAGTGAATTTAAACCCCTTGTCAGCAAAATAATTAAGTATGGCTACAGAATCTACTTTGGGGGAAAGGAGAGAGGAAGTGGTCCAACGCAATCCATTAAAATGTTATCACAATCATCTATGCATAATCCACTAATGTATTACCCGGGGGGGGGGGAATCACAGCCGGGACATGAATGAGGGAACAATGAAAATGTTCAGTAGGAAAGAAAGAGGCAAAGGAAATTCAAATTCAACTTGAAAGCCAAGAGTTTGATCAGGATTGACTTTAGTTTACCGACAGAGAGATCTTCTGTTATCACAGAAGAGGTTAAGTTCTCCTTTCCAAAGATCTCGGCTCGGGCGGGGATCAGAAAACCCTGCTGGTGACAGATGGGTAACCGAGACAAGTTTACACCACAGCTCCCTCAGTGGCTGGAGCACCTGGGAGGAGCCCTCCATTTGGGACCATCTCTGAACCCAACATCTTGTCTTTCCCCGAATCCACTCGTTTCTTCTTGAGCTGACTCTGATGGATGAAGGGAACAAACGCGAGAATGAGGCCTCCAATTATCGGAGGAACGCCAGCAAAGTAGAAGGCAAGCTGGTAATTCCCAAAATGGTCATGAAGGAATCCTGAAAAAGAAGAAAAGCAGGTAACCTATAATGAAACTTTAACGTAACACACATGTACACAGAGGGCTTAATTCCAGTGTTCTACAGAAGGTTGATGTCACTTCTTTCTTATTCACAATAAAAGCGACTTATCTAGCTGGGCTGTAGCCTTCAAGCTTCTACAGCAGTGGTTCTCAACCTGTGGGTCGGGACTCCATTTGGGGTCGAACGACCATTTCACGGGGGTCGCCAAACAAGGCTGTCCGCCATTTTTTTCCCTTTTCTTTGGCCACGCCCCTGGCACCCGGTGATATATAAGTGGTTGGGGGTCACCACAACATGGGGAACTGTATTATGGGGTCGCGGCATTAGAAAGGTTGAGAACCACTGTTCTACAGTTAGCTATTTGATGACAGGCCAGCTTTCAGAATAAAGGAAAATTTTGCTGGTTCTGATATAAAATCTGACAGATGGTGACAATTTGCCATCAACTCCTTGACTCTGAACAATTTGAAAAATACTGTCCACATTTTAATTGGAGGCATCATGAAGTAAATGATTTTTTAAAAATTCTTCATAGCATTGAGCAGTTCTGAGCCTTGAATTCAGTGTAAAATCTTTCAATTTTGCTTTTAATGGGCTTTAATAAAAATATCACTAAATGTTACTTTTTCCAAATTCAGATGACCGGTTGGGGAAGAAGCAGTCTGGTTTTTAAAGAATACAAATTATTCCCAGAAAAAGAGATACAACTGGCCGAGATCTTTCCAGCTGCAGCACTTCTTGTGCAAATCTTTAGATCTTTTTAATCTGGGAAAATGGACTTTATTGAGCAACATTTGGCTATTTTCTAAGCCGTGTAACAATCTGGACCTGTTGATAGTTGCCAAATTAAAAAAAAAAAAATCAAACACTTCAAAATCCAGCCAGCGTTTACACAGTGGCCAACAATATTACTTATTACCACTTATGAACCCCACTACAAGTTTTTTTAGAGATTTTTCTTATACAAGTTGAAGCACAAAGAATGTGACAAAGGTTAGGGTTAGTCTGAGAGATGAATCATTAGTTAACAAATACTTCTGTTGGCTAGTGGGCTGGTGCACTCTAACCTCACTTTTAGATGTTTTGCTAACAATTATAAAATACTAGGAATTACATGAGGATCTTTAAGAATTCAAAAGGAATTTACAAACATTATCCAAATCATATATGCATAAACGGAACGCTTAGGGCTGCAGATGATCCCAGAATGTTGTGGGTTCTACTCTTTGAAACCTTGACCAGTTGAAATGTTTAATGGAAGAGAAGGAAAGCTTTGATGACCACTAATTTTAACAAATGAAAATGAAATCAAATTAAGTTTTCTTCTGGCCTCTCCTACTAATTTTTTCAAATATAGTTACTTCAAAGTAAGAAGGAGCACCCAAAACGCATTTCTTGCTTCTTCTTGCAACTAAGAACCTGCGAAATGGGTCCACATATGGAAAAATCCCAGAGAAACTGACATATCTGGAGAATGGGCGATTTAGGAGGAAGTATTTCTGTATACTGGCTCAATTTAGCTATCACACCAAACTGTCACCAGGAAAATTCGCCTAGGATTTGACAAGAGAGCTGGAATAATAATTAGCCATCAAATTAACATCTGAGAACTGGTTTGCATAGTGATAAGCCAAATGAAGCATTGACCATTACTGTTGGGCCTTCAGGAGCCATCCTATCCAGGCAAATGGAAACCTCAAATAGATAAGCCATTCTGTATACTTATGGTTTATTCACCCAATACATATTTGTCCATTTAATATTTAGGACAGTGTTATAATGAGTTGGTTGAGCTACTGACTGCTGGCCAAGTCAAAGAAGCTACAGATCCTGGATTAAAGGTGAAAGCCAGCTATGAGGTCCCTCGTCTACCAACTGTTCATACCTTGCTTGGATAAGGACTTTTTAGACATATTTTAGACATATTAGACATATCATCAAGGTAGAGAATTCTCTCACCTGCAATTGGTGGGCCAGCTAACATGGGAATGGCCATGAGTCCCAGGAGATAGCCAATGGCTTGAGAAGCCTCCATGGGCCCAACCAGCTCAAAGGCAATGGGGGCCATAATGGTGATGAAGAGTCCATCACAAAGTCCAAGGAAGAGGCAGACGATGATCACCCCCCAAAACGCTTGGCACTGTAGCAACATCATGCACATGATACCCAAGGTGATGAAGGACGCAACCTGAAGAGTCAAAACAAGGAAGCTGTTCAGACAACCAGGACAAATGTGGAATTTCCTGAACAAGAGGACTGAGAGGATGAGTGAGTAGCACACTTTATAGGTGATGGATGAAGTGACTTCTCTCTTTCTCCCTCCCTCCCTCCCTCCCTCCCTCCCTCCCTCCCTCCCTCCCTCCCTCATGAAATTACTCAAACTCACAAGGTTTCTGACATCTCATCCCTGAGATCTCATGTGAAAATGCAACACTTCATCATTCTTGCCTGGAAATACATGTGATTTTGGTATTCTCACCAAGCCATCTCACCACATTTTGGTATCGTCACCTGGAATCACTGAAATTTCACCAAGTTTCCTCCATATTCATTTTTAAATTGAATGAAATTCTACAAATGCTACTTCAGGTTGTTGCATCTTTGATTAGATAGATAGATAGATAGATAGATAGATAGATAGATAGATAGATAGATAGATAGATAGATAGATAGATAGATAGATAGATAGATAGATAGAATGCCTTCCCAATCTCTGGTTAAGAAGGATGAAAACCTTAGGCGATATTCACAGACTATGTTTAGAGAGCATGGTCCACTTTCCAGCTTTCTAATCTGGGGGGGGGGGCAGGATACCCCAAATCTTTTCATGGATGCTCAGTTCTAGATGAAGGTTGGCTTCACCATTAGGCAGGACAATCAATAGGTTGAAAACTTACTTTGAGTCTAGAAGTGTCTGGCAATGCCAGGATGATTAATCTTCTTTGTAAGAATATAAATATTGTCTTCCACTTTGATTTGGTTAGGTCTTCCATTCCTAAACCCCTGAACCTTTCTCCTCCTTCCTAAGTCTCACAGGTCACCCAGGCATATCTCAGAGGTCACCCAATTTTTTTCCATTTTCTCTTCTGTTTTCCCCAAAGGTCACTCCTTGGTAGCAAATTAAGGAGGACATTTAAGACCTCACAACTGGAGTACTTTAGTTTGTCTCAGGCCCCCAAGGCATTCAAAGACACTGTGCTCTAGATATCTGAGATGCACAGATAAGGCTAAGTTTCAAAGAATGTGAAGAAAACAACCAAGAGGAGAAAGTTGGAAGGTGATAGCAACTCTTCTGTCATTCCCTCACTTTTAGCAAAGTGCTTGTGTGCAAACGCCATTATAGGGATTCATAAAGAGCTGTTTCCATCTATTAAACATATTTTTCTCTATTTAAATCATCTCAAATTTCTGCCATGTTTCCAAGTTTGCAATATACTCTCCTTGGCACTGAATGGAAGGTCAGCTCTAGGCCAAGGCTGGAGTTTGGGAAGGCTAATTTTTCCCTTCAGACTTTCATAATGTTCACAAACCATTTATTTCTACTGATTTTTTTTAACAAGTTACATAAAATAAGCTGCTTCTTCCAGCCAACAGGAAAGACTCCCATTAGGGACTGCTTGCAGAACATCCCAAGGTCAGACCTGACTTAGGGAGCTGAGGCCAAGCAATTCAACTATCTGAACCCCAAATGGCTTGGAATAAGATCACTTCTGCTGGACCTGTAGAAATATTGGGGTATCAAATGTCGATGGGCGCCCCTAGGTCGCCTGAAGAGCTACATAAGACGGCTTTTTCCTTCCATTTAATCATGTCTGATTCCTGGAGACTGCCTGGACAAGCTCTTGCAGCCTTCTTGTCAAGGTTTTTCAAAAATGGTTCACTTTTGTCTCCTTCCTAGGGCTGAGAGAAGGCCTGGCCCAAGACCACCCATCAGGTTTTGTGCCCAGGGCTGCACTAGAAACTCATGGACTCCTGGTACGTGGATTGGCACCTTAATCACCACAGCAATCTGGCTCTTGTACAGTACTGCATGCTCAGTTTAATTAAGTTTCTTTGCTAATATATTTGGTTATTTATGGTACAATGGACAGTATAAATTGGAACTTGTGTGAACAAGCTAATTTGAAGAAGTTCTCTGTATTGTTTCTATGTACCCATATCAAAAACTATGCAGTATTCCTGAGCATTAAAAAGATCGCCTGGTCACCATGCCTGGTCTCTCCTTCACAGTTGCTTTTGTGAAATAAATTCCTTTTCTCTGAGTTCAAGAAGACGTAGATGGAGGGAACATCTCTCTAATTTCACTTCTGCAAGAATCCCGTGAGGTGGGTTGAGCAGACAATCACCCAATAAGGTCCGCAGTGACTATAGGGCTAGGCCCAGCATCCTAATCACTCCACCACATTGCCTTCAGAATGAATAAATGAGTCATCTCTTTCGCATGAAGACTAGCCTATTGGACCAGCCAATCGTCAATCTTCTCTTGCCTTCTGTGCCAGTGAGAAAACAGGCTACCAGATATTACCACAATATTGGGTAACCTGGCAGATCCAAGTAGATCAGTGTTTCTCAACCTTGACAATTTTAAGGCATGTGGACTTCAACTCCCAGAATTCCACAGCCAGCATTGCTGGCTGTGGAATTCTGGGAGTTGAAGTCCACATGCCTTAAAATTGTCAAGGTTGAGAAACACTGAAGTAGATTGTGTATGCTTATGCACCTATTTTATTATTTATTTATTTGTAACATGTATTAGGCACTCATCTTGCCACTCTGTATGAACATCTGTGAATATGACAAACATGTAGGTACATTTTTGGCCTTACTACACATTTATTATAATAATTGGTCTTTTAGTTGACCTTATTCATTGCAAAAAAAATTCTAAAAGAATTTTCTTTTTTTTTTAAAAAAAAACCTGGAATTAGGAGAGAAGAACAAGAAAGTGAAGGAAATCCAAGGCATATCTTTGGTATCCTGGAGGCTAGCCATTTTAGCAAGACGATAATGTTAATATTCTCTTCTGGCACATTAATATTTCCAAGAGTATTTATTTTGTTTCTGTTCCCTTGAGTTCAGAGGCCCGTGAGGAAAAAAAGAGAAGACTTCATTTCCCAGCAGACAATGGGCTCTGCTCTGAATTGTTGGAGTAATCAAAAGAACTTTCCATAAAGTTCTGACAGTGTTTCCTGACCTTAACCATTTTAAGATGTGTGGACTTCCCAGAATACCCCAACCAGGAATGGCTGTGGTATTCTGGGAGTTGATGTCCACATGACTTAACAGGCTATGGTTGTTATGCACAGTTGTTTGCTCAAACTTTAAAAGGAAGCATGTGCTAAGTCTCCACAGAAATCAATGCTTAAGAGAGAGGATCAAATACAAATGCAATTAGAAGCCACTTCTTTATATCTTACACTTTCTTTTTTTCTTTTTCTGTATTTTTTCTTTTATTTCTTTACTACTTATTCACTACTTTTTTTTTACTTTTCCTTCTCTTTTAAATATCGTTTTTATCTTGCAAAATGGTCTTTAATAAAAATAAATCAATCAGGACATGAGCAAATATAATCTGTGTCTTATATGACCTTAAATAAAGCAAATTTTTGCCTTGCAGAAGGATTCCAGAGCCGAGTTTAAGTTTACTTAGGTTTTCTGCCTTTAAAAAAAGAACTGGGAAGAACACAAACTGTTAATTATTTGGGTCAAATAAATGGACATACGGTACCCATAACTATGGCTCTGTATTTCATCAGAAAACTTATTGGCTACACAATTTCCAGATGTCAAGACTAAAATATACAGGAGAAAGCAATAGCAATACCAATAGTACTTAGACTTATATACCACTTCATAGTGCTTTATAGATCTCTCTGAACAATTTACAAATGTTGTCCCCAGCAATCTGGGTCTTCATTTTACTGACCTCAGAAGGATGGAAGGCGGAGTCAACCTTGAGCTGGTCAGGATCGAACTCCTGGCAGTGGGCAGAATTAGCCTGCAAATACTGCATTCTAACTACTGCATCACTACAGCTTCTGAAAGCAATACTCTATACCAGTGTTTTTCAAACTTGGCAACTTTAAGATATCTGCACTTCAAGTCCCAGAATTCCCCAGCCAGTGTCATTCTCCAGATTTTGTTTGGTCAACTGCAATGAAGCAGTTGGATTGAGGTCTTGCAGAGATGCTCCATTTATGTTCCTGTGGACATCAAAGCATCTTTGGAGCATGGAATGCCAAGGATGGCACAACCCAAAGGCAGAACTTAAACAATGCCACATGGGTAAAGTTCTGCTCCATGAAAAATGGAATCTTCTTAAACAGAATAACAGACTTGGAAGGATCTTGGAGGTCTTGTAGGATCTCCTGCTGTCCAATCTCTTCTTAAAAGCCTCCAGTGATGGAGCACTCAAACTTCTGGGGGCAAGGCGTTTCACTGATTAAGTGTCCTAACTGGCAGGAAAATTCTCCTTAGTGCTAGGTTGGCTCTCTCCTTGTTTATTTTCCATCCATTGCTTCTTGTTCTTCTTCCGGTGCTCTGGAGAATAGGTTGACCCTCTCTTTTTTGTGGCAGCCCCTCAGATATTGGAAGTCTGTCTTGTCACCCCTACTCCTTCTTTTCATTAGACTGAACACACCTAATTTCTGCAACCGTTCTTCCATGTTTTCTCTCCAGCCGCCTCATCTTAAGTCATTTCTCTTCAAGAACATGTCTGGATGGTGGAGAATGTCTCACACACCGACAAAGCATTCTGGAGGAAGTGCAAAGTAATCAATAAACGTGAATTTGAAATAAGCACTCATCTTCTACCTGCAAATAAATCTTCTTCAATCCGGGGATGAGATCACCAATGGGTCCGGAGGCCAGGCGCCCGACTCCCGACATGGCTCCTATGCAAACAAGCACAATCCAGGATTTTTCCTTTTCTTGGAATTCCACTTCTACGAACTTCACCTGGAAAGTGGAAAAGAGGCATTGGTCTTATGTTTCTTCCAACTGGCCCCAGGGTTGCCGATCCCAAATTGGGAGACCCAGTGTGCGACTTGGTAAAAAGAGACATCTGCGCACTGCTCCAGTTTGGTGTCATCCCACAAAAAGCAGGAAATGCATAAAAAGGAGACCGTAACCCATGATTTGGGGTCTCCCTTTGTATATTTTTGGAGGGCTAGGGAGTGGGAAATCTAGGCCTGCGTTGTACTCCTTAAAGTTTCCAAAGCTGGCTGAGATTTTTATGGGGAGTAGTTGAGGAGATGATGGATAAAATGGGTGGTTTCTGCTTCTGGAAAGTCTAGATAAGCCTATATCAGGGCTGTGTTAAGTGTTGTGTTGTTGTTTCCTCCCCCCTCAGATGCTCTAAATGTTATTTCTGATTTTGTTATGTTGTTTTCATCTCACTTTGAAGCATTGCATTGAAGATGGGTAGCCACATAAACTGAGTACAGGTAATCCTCGACTTACAACCACAATTGAGCCCAAATATTTTGTTGCTAAGTGAGACATTGGTTGAGTTTTATGCCATTTTACGACTTTGCTTGCCACAGTGGTTCAGTGAATCACTGCAGTTGTTAAATTAGTGAAACAGTTGTTAAGTTGACCATGAGGATACTGTGAGGGTCGCAAACGCAAGGATTAGTTATAAGCAGTGCTTTTTTTCTAAAAAAAAAAAAAAAGGTGCCGGAACTCACACACGTCATACAACTTGCCTTGCCTACCCTACAAGATTCCATCCAAAAAAGGTGCCGGAACTCCGTTCTGGGCGTTCTATGAGAAAAAAAGCCCTGGTTATAAGTCACTTTTTCCAGCGCCGTTGTATCTTCGAATGGTCACTAAATGAACTGTTGTAACGTGAGGACTACCTGTAAACATTGGAAGACAACTTCAGACAAGTCTTAGGCCTCTCACTTAGATCAGGGCTCTCCAACCTTGGCAACTTTAAGACTTGTGGACTTCAACTCCCAGAATTCCTGAGCCAGCCATGCTGAGGGGAAAGGGAGAGGTTTCCGAGCTGAGCCAAGCTGGCTCAGGAATTCTGGGAGTTGAAGTCCACAAGTC